CAACAACCTTGAAATAAGAGCGCAAGGTTTATCTGATAATCAGATGCATGAAAGTAGCGTTCGTTGCTATAGCAAACAGACATCGGGCGCGTTTTCTTTCAAAATCATCATTCGCCGATGGAGAGGAAAAGTTAAACACTATAGCATTTTATTTGATGAAAATGAGAAAGAAGTTTTCGCACTGAAAGAGAAGTGATCTCGCGCTCATAGAACTTAAGACATGCCAGGCTATATCTGCAGCAAAACGAACGGAAGCAGAATGAACGGAAACATTAAGATAATAAACGCAATAAATAAATAAAATTTATGAATAATGCATTGCTAATTTACATATCATTTACTACAGTACAGAAACTATAAAGTATATTTTCTACCTTATTCTGTGCAGAAAATTGAAATAATTGTTTGTAGTATTTAAAACAATCATAAAATTGCAATTAGGAAAAAATTATAGATTAAAAATGATTGATTATTGTCCAGAAGTGTATTTGAGTTCTTATAGCAAATTCAAAGTAAGAGATAAGAAAATAATTCCTTGTAAAAAAAAATTTTATACATACATAAAATTATTGTATTTGACATTTCTGTCACTTCTGAAATGATGGCTACGCCCCTAGTGTGACAAAATGTTAGCATATACATCATACTTTTAAAGCTCTTTTTTTAAATCTTGGCTTACATAAATTTCTACATATGCCATGTCATGCCACAGCATCATTAAACTAGCATCTAACAATGGACAAGGTTTTTTTTTCTCTAACCTATGGTTCTGTAACCATAAAGGCTGCTGTGTAATTTGCCCCCTGACTAAGCATTTAAGTAATCCTGTGAATGCATTTAAAGAATGCAGAATCAAATCGTTAATCGAATCGAATATAATTGTGTATCGAATCGATTCGTTCTGAATTTGCAAAAATTGTTCTTGAGTCGAATCGAAAACTTATGAATCGTGAATCGAATCGATTCGCGGTCTACCCAAAGATTCACAGCCCTATCAGAAACACATTTAAACTCACCGTGGGGATTTAGGCATCAAGGCCTTATTAAGCTTGTGCTGGAAAGACAATCCTTTGCCTTGATCCTCCACCAGATTCTTGCATTGCTCCACCTCTTGAAGTTTTGGTTCACTTTTCTGAACCAAAACAGGAGAAAGTTGATTCTGATTTTTTTCCCTTAATAATAAAAAAATTAGAAGATTTAATAAGAAATCTGCAGCTCTAAATAGAAAGAACAATTCAGTTATAACATTAGAAATGGTAGTTTCCTTACATTGTTAAACCTTCCTTAGTTTCTGGAGGGGACTGTGTGGCTTGCTCTGGCATTTTAGTGGTTTTCGCAGGCTTCATACTGAAGAATAAACATTTTAAGCTGAATTTGTTTTTATCATAATATAAGAAATTTGATTATATGATTATTTATAAGAAAGTTAAATTCAATGTTGATGAACAATACTGTTGTTACACATTAATATCTGACCTTGATAAAGAGCCAGCAGTTGCTTTAGTAGTTTTTCTAAACTCAAGCCTTTCTGGTGGTGAAGCCAGAGACCCGCTATCCCTTCAGAGCAGAGAAAATAAGTGAACAGTTAGACAATAAAACAAAAACAGTAACATTTATCAGACTCGTTTTACTTACCCATTAACAGATTCCTTGACCGGTTCTGACTGCTGAGTGCAGGACCCCTTGCTTAAGTCTCCACCAATGGGTTCCTCATCCTCAACGAAGAGAAGAGGATCAGCCACAGGTCTGACTCCATCCACCGTTTCATCCCTCTCTGTTGCCAAAGCAATAGGGCTGGATGTCTTTATGGGAGCAAGTTCTTTAAATGGACTCTCTTTGTTAGGATTGAAAGAAATATGACAATTATTACAGATGCTAAGCAGGTATGAGACAGGTGAGATATGCTAAATAATTAACTATTTTTTTCTGTTTTCATGGTCAGGCAAGTAGTTCAAATTTCTACTTGCATTGCCAATACAAATTATACATTTACTTAATTTACTTGCATAATTTTATATTTGCATTTAGAATTTTAAATTACAATTAAATTTTTGCATTTATTAATATTTCATTTCAAATGATCAAAAATATGGTTTATAATTGAAAATTTTTTGCTGGTTTAATCAAATGTTAAGTTTACTTTAAACCAAAATGTGCAATAATAGCTAGTAATCATACACAGTACAACTGATATAAAAACTGTGTCCAATAATACAATCGATTAGATGTAGGTTTACCTTTATAAATCATTTCATCTTCTCGAATGCCATTTTCCTGGATTAAAGCATCCTTGGGCACCTGACAATCGGAGTCATCTGATTAACAATCACATTATAGCACTAAGAACAGACTAACTTCTAATGATTCACTTCATGTGTACCTGTTGAGATGATGCCTTCATCTTTTCTGGATCAGAAGAACTTTCACTTTTCTTCTGACTATTCATGCCAGTGCTTTTGGGCAAAGGAGAAAGCAGAGGCAAACCCAGCTCAGAGTCAGCATCTACCAATAACAACAACATGAGATATTGTTTCGCACAATGAATAGCATGAAAAATTGACAATGAAATGAATGTTTTAAGCAATTAGATGAATGTAAGATATAATTACCAATGTCATCGAAGAGATTGTCAATGTCACGCAGGGTGAAAACCTTATCGATCTTGAAGTCAGAACTGACTCTGAAAACCAGCAGCAACATCTGATTAAATTACTTTTACTTGAGCTAGTTAAGATATTAACCAATACAATAGGTTGTTTGTTATGAAAGTCTAACATTACTTACATTTCATGTCCTTGATAATAATGCAGTTTCTTTTTGGCTTTGACCTGAAATCATTGATTCAAACATCACAAGTTCATTTGAAGAATAAAATACATAAAACTAACTCATGGTAACTATACATTTATCACATAATTCACACACACACGCGCACACACACACACACACACACACACAACCATATCTATCTATCTATCTATTAATTACAGTTCAAAAGTTTGGTACGCTTTTTCTTTCTTAACATTTCTTTTGTTCACTCTGCATTTGTTTGATCAAAAATGCAGTAAAACTTTAATAGTGTAATATTATTATTACAACTTAAAATAACTGTCTTCTATTTTAATATATTGTAAAATGTCATTTATTCCTGTGATGATTTATTCCTGAATCTTCAGCACCATTACTCCAGTCTTCAGTGTCACATGACCCTTCAGAAATCATTCTAATAATCTGATTTGATGCTCAAGAAACATTTCGTATTATCGATGTTAAAATAGTTGTGCTGCTTAATATTTTTTCCTTATATATATTCCTTGATGAATAGAAAGTTTATAAGAACAGCACATATGTACAATAGAAACCACAGAAATAATGTTTACATTAATGTAATAAACAATGTGATGCTGTGTATTGCTACCTGGCTGAACGGTGTCTGAACTGTCACTTTACTTCTGCTTTCTTTTCAGAGACAGTGGCTTTGTCCCAAAACACTACTCTGAGAGAATTTTGAGCGCCTAAGATGCCCAAAAATGCTGTCTAGGTAGGAGCTTACTAGGTTTTGAGGGCAGCCACTGACGGACTCTGCGCCACAAACGGTGGCTTTGTTCTTTCCGTAACGATACACCCATAACTACTGACCTGGGACATCGTGTTCACCCCTGGTTAAAGAAAATGTGTGTCCGCCAGTGAAGCTCTTAAATGTGCAGATAGTCCTGTTCTCCGTTTCAATCCCAACATGCCCGTGACTGGTAGCTGACCGCCATTCGCGCGTACATTACACTCTTCTTTGTTCAGGCAGTTTGGCAAGTCTTGAAGCTAATTTTGTATTTGCAATAGCTTTACTTTCAAAACAATAGTGAATTAAGCATTAAAATATTAATATCTCACAGAAAACATTAATATCTTTCCTAGAGTCCGTCACTGTATTTGACCCACAACAACAACACAAATTCTCCCGCTCATTTGTGTTCCTGTGCGGGAGAAAGACGCACAATGAAATGCTGCCACCTAGTGCTGCGGAGTGTTTCACAGCCGCACTACACCAGTAAATTAAATTAGGATAAAGCCCACTAGGGGGCATCAATAAACCCACAAGCCAAGGAGATAACGTGACATTTTTTTTAATATATAAATACCGTTTAAAATAAATTACCAATTAAATGGCAACCAGGTTTATAAAAGTTACCTACAACTAAAACCAAAAGTCACATTACTTAAAATAAAATGGACTTTAATTAAAAAAAATCTCATTTTAATTTAGTTTAACTTTATGTACTAAAATACTTTAAAACTAAAACTGAAATTAAAATGTAAAATGACAAAGACAAAAAAATTACTAAAACTTTAAAATTAAAATCTAAAAATAAAAACGGATTGTAAATATTAATAAAAATAATTATATAGTATCTCAATGATAGGCTACTAAAATAACATTGTTAGTAACTTGACTATATATCATATTTCTGACTACATTTTAAATAAATATTAACATTTCTTACAATTATTACAAATAATAGTTTCCCTTTTGTATCCAATGCAAGACAATTTAATAAAAAAATTATAACTTTAATTTTTTTTTTTTAATTTAAATAAGAGTTGCAGATTTTTTTTATTCATGGTCATGATTTTAGCCACAATATACTGCAAGTAGTTCTCTTTCAAATCAACACACAGTTCATTAATTTGATTGACATTTGATATAATGGGATTGTGATCATGATTCTATTTTCAGTCACCACTTGTTGGGATTGAGCCAACAACCTCTTGACTTCCCATCTAAAACTTTACAAAAACTTTAAACCCTAGTGAGTTTTATGATTTTATTGCTGGAGAAAAATGGTACATAACAGTGCACAGATCATGGTCACTGTAAAGATACTCTAAGACACCCCCTGCCCTGATAAGAGCAATTAAATGTGTGTAACTCATTTACACAAGCTTTGCATTTTAGTTTTTACTTCATCATTTATCAAAATTACATATTTACACATTTGAACAATTATAAAAATAAATAGCATTGATTATAATGCTATAATAAATAAATAGCATGACAAATATAAAATCGAATGATACAAACATTATTCCGTTTAAGTGAAGATCTTCTTCTGCTTTTCAGCAATTTCCATTGGTGATATCTCCTCCTCTACATTCATGCCTTTGTAGAGAGGATGTTTAATGTGCCTCCATATAACCAGCAACACTTTGATCGCAAATAGTGTACAAGTCAACCCCAGTAAAACAGCTGTGGAAAATAACAAAATATTGTTGTCATGAAATATGGCAAAACAGATTAAGAACACAATGGCAAAGCCATTATCACATTCATGCTCACCTATGTAAATGCCGCTGCGGCTTGGATCTGCAGATTTAAAGTTCTTGGTCATGTTTCCACTCAAGGCCACAATAACAACAGGGTAGACTGTCAGAATGTATCGCAGGTGCTTTTCAAACACAAAGTTCTCAACAATGAACCTGTAGAATAATAATGCATTAATCTCAAAATGTATGTCTTTCATTTATTTAGCATCCTTCATTTATTTGAGTTCCATGGTCTTACCAAGAAATAGCTTCACCCAAAAGAATAGAGAGAGAGACTGTTGCTGCATCTGACTGGGTCATTCCAGCATCATATCTCAGCACAACAGTGAAGTTAATCAGAGTGGCAATTGTTGTCCATGTTGTGTATGTTGCAATGCCATTCTGAACCTGCAAGATTAAAGATGCTAAATTAAAAATGCATAATGTTTTTCAAATGGTTTGAGATGCTATTAAGTAAAATTGTAATGGACTCTCACCAATATCCGTATGCACCAGAGGTCTACTTTGTGATATTTGTTTAACCAGGCTCCATATTGTTTGAGTCCATGACAGGAGAAGATTATAAGCAAATAGTTTGTGAAGGCAATCAAGGCAAGGATAATGAATGCAGCAATCATCACCCTTTAAAGAAATGCAAAGAAGTTTATGAGGATTTTGCAAACAGTCAACAAAAATGAGAGAGGTAAGTATAATATAATTATAAAGTACAAACCCAATTCTAAAAAAGTTGGCACACTGTACAAATTGTGAGTAAAAAGGAATGGAATAATTTACAAATCTCATAAACTTATATTTTATTCACAATAGAATATAGATAACATATCAAATGTTGAAAGTGAGACATTTTGAAATGTCATGCCAAATATTGGCTCATTTTGGATTTCATGAGAGCTACACATTCCAAAAAAGTTGGGACAGGTAGCAATAAGAGGCCGGAAAAGTTAAATGTACATATAAGGAACAGCTGGAGGACCAATTTGCAACTTATTAGGTCAATTGGCAACATGATTGGGTATAAAAAGAGCCTCTCAGAGTGGCAGTGTCTCTCAGAAGTCAAGATGGGCAGAGGATCACCAATTCCCCCAATGCTGCGGCGAAAAATAGTGGAGCAATATCAGAAAGGAGTTTCTCAGAGAAAAATTGCAAAGAGTTTGAAGTTATCATCATCTACATGACATAATAATATCCAAAGATTCAGAGAATCTGGAACAAATCTCTGTGCGTAAGGGTCAAGGCCGGAAAACCATACTGGATGCCCATGATCTTCGGGCCCTTAGACGGCACTGCATCACATACAGGAATGCTACTGTAATGGAAATCACAACATGGGCTCAGGAATACTTCCAGAAAACAATGTCGGTGAACACAATCCACCGTGCCATTCGCCGTTGCCGGCTAAAACTCTATAGGTAAAAAAAGAAGCCATATCTAAACATGATCCAGAAGCGCAGGCGTTTTCTCTGGGCCAAGGCGCATTTAAAATGGACTGTGGCAAAGTGAAAAACTGTTCTGTGGTCAGACGAATCAAAATTTGAAGTTCTTTTTGGAAAACTGGGACGCCATGTCATCCGGACTAAAGAGGACAAGGACAACCCAAGTTGTTATCAGCGCTCAGTTCAGAAGCCTGCATCTCTGATGGTATGGGGTTGCATGAGTGCGTGTGGCATGGGCAGCTTACACATCTGGAAAGGCACCATCAATGCTGAAAGGTATATCCAAGTTCTAGAACAACATATGCTCCCATCCAGACGTCGTCTCTTTCAGGGAAGACCTTGCATTTTCCAACATGACAATGCCAGACCACATACTGCATCAATTACAACATCATGGCTGCGTAGAAGGATCCGGGTACTGAAATGGCCAGCCTGCAGTCCAGATCTTTCACCCATAGAAAACATTTGGCGCATCATAAAGAGGAAGATGCGACAAAGAAGACCTAAGACAGTTGAGCAACTAGAAGCCTGTATTAGACAAGAATGGGACAACATTCCTATTCCTAAACTTGAGCAACTTGTCTCCTCAGTCCCCAGACATTTGCAGACTCTTATAAAAAGAAGAGGGGATGCCACACAGTGGTAAACATGGCCTTGTCCCAACTTTTTTGAGATGTGTTGATGCCATGAAATTTAAAATCAACTTATTTTCCCCTTAAAATGATACATTTTCTCAGTTTAAACATTTGATATGTCATCTATGTTGTATTCTGAATAAAATATTGAAATTTGAAACTTCCACATCATTGCATTCTGTTTTATTGCAAAGCTGAATTTTCAGCAGCCATTACTCCAGTCTGCAGTGTCACATGATCCTTCAGAAATCATTCTAATGTGCTGTTTAAGAAACATTTCTTATTTTTTATCAACGTTTTCACAGTTTTTGCTGTTATTTGTAAATTTAATAAATACTGTTTAATGAACTTTCTATTCATCAAAGATCACAGTTTTATTATGGTTTCCACAAAAAGCAGCACAATTTTAAATAATGAGAAATGCTTCAGCATATTACAATGATTTCTTAAAGATCATTCGAAGACAGGAGTAATGACTGCTGAAAATTCAGCTTTGCCATCACAGAAATTAATTACATTTTAAAATATACTAAAATTGAAAATAGTTATTTAAAATTGTAATAACATTTCACAATATTGCTGTATTTTTCATTATATAAATGCAGCCATAAGAGACCAATAACATTTAAAAATCTTTAATATTACAAACTTTTGGCTGCCACATTATAAAAATAATTGTTTTTAAAATGACAAACTTACTGTCTGTCCCACAGAAGAAGCCAGATTATATTTAGCAGCATGTTTACAATCCAGGTTATGAAGAATCCATATGGCAACACAGCAGGACTGCAGTACATTGGACCATAAACAGTCCTGTGAGCACAATATACATAATCGTCTCATTAACTGCAGCATGTTATTATTACAAAATCACATTTCATGCCACTTTATTTTTTGATTACCATTTGATTCTAGCCCACTGAGTTCTTACCTCCTGCAGGTAGTGGTGAGGATGTAAACATGCATGAGTGACAGCCAAGTGTAGATGACACCCCAGATTGAGAAGGTCCATCCCGAGGGAGTGATTTCTGTATTGTATTTATCTGATATCGCTCCAGTGTTGTTCCGAAAAGGACCTGCAAATAGGAAAAAAATAACATTGTAGAGATATATTTAACCAAAACGTAATTTAGCACCTAATTCATACTGGAAACAGTATTATATTTATCTTCTGTACATACCAGTTCCCGGTCCAGCAAGTGCGTTGAATATGATGCAGATGATGAAAATGACAACAGAAAGGACTATGAGTGCTAAACGGGCAACGCTGTGACCTCCCATTGTGAGCAGCTGAAATAAAGAGAATGTTCTGCTTGTTGTTATCTGAAAACGCACGCACACGCACACACACACACACACACACACATAGGCATATATTTATAGCCTATATCGCTTATATAAAAGCGTCTGCTAAATGACTAAATGTAAATGTAAATATCAGCTCAAAACGAATCACCCTCACATATGCATTATTAGTAATAAGTAAATGAAACATAAAGACACAAAACTTGTATCTTACCTACGCCTGAAACCAAGCGTTGAAGAGAGAGGGAAGTTACCGTAACACTCTGAGGACTGAATAACACAGATACTACACCTGTGGGACTGGTTTTATAAAGGGCAGGTTGTGTAACTGTATACACGTGCTCAGTATGTCATTTGAATACAAGTGTACAATGGCTGTCGAGGCTACCATTTTTTCTTTGCACTTCCGATTGTTATGAAAAATCCTTACATAACTAACTGATCTTACACTTTGAATTAACAAAAAAATAGTAGCAGATGGTGTAGGGTTTTTTCTTTTTAAATAATTTCTGTTTCCATTTTTTTAAATAAATAAATAAAAAGTTTTATAAAGTAAAAACTACACTTTTTATCCACATGTACATGTTTGATAACATGGCTTATTCATTAACTGTGTGTGTAATAATGTCTTTAACAGTTAAGGAAGTAAATGTACACATGGATGGACACATGATGAAGCATATATCTATTATGAAACACATCTGGACATGTGTTGAAGTGATATTGCCACTTACACACAGTTTAGCAAAACATGTTTACAATCATGTTTTTGCAGAGTTGCTTAACCTGTTATACATTTTGCAAAGTTTGGTTTCATCTTAAAGATTTGCAGATTTCCTGAGAAGACCACGATTGACTGGTATATGTGTTTGGTTTCATTCAAATGTACTTAACAATTCGTGTATCTTCAAGGGCAACCTTTTGCATATTAAGTTTCAGTACAAGTTGTTCTTTACCAAACATAAACCCATTAAACACATAAAATGTAAAAAAATAAATAAACAACAAAAAAACTGTAATAATGTATACATGACAAATATTGTAGTATTTAAATTTTCTTTTAAAAGTTCCAAAAATATGTTTAAGATTGAGTTCAATCAGTAGTCACAGAAGCATCAGTAGTCACCTGGAGTCACATGCGTATGTAGAGTTTAGGAAAAACCTGCGTGAATTGTTTAATACATTTAAAATGGTTATTTTTTTATCGCGTTAAACAATTATTTACATCAAAACTATCCACGCCCTAACATGTTACATGTGCTGCAATACGAGGATCAAACCACTTCGCGGGGGATGATGAAATATGAACAGAGATACATTACCACAGGAAAGATCAATATTTTACGTTTAAACGTAAATATTCATAATATTTAGACATGTTTAAGCACAGCAGCCGAGCAGCTCTTCTCTGCTCATATACTGCAACATTCTTTAGTCTATTCCACAAAAATGGTCTGTTCCAATGTCTCGTGATCAACAGGAAGAAAACTTTCTGTTCAGTCAATTTTATCGTGAGAAGATATTACGGAGTATTTTTGTTACCTCTCAGTATATAAAATGACTTTACTTTGTGGCGGAACAACTGAGGCGAAAGATGCGAACACTCAGAAATTAAAGTACATAATTGTACCTTTAGGGGTACAATGGCTTGTCACTGGGGCTGTACCCCCAAGGGTACAGCTTTTGTACCCTTGGCATAGGGTACAAATTTGTACCCTTGTTTTGCACCTTAAGAGACCAGTTTTGTACCCGTGGTGTCAATTTTGTACCTTTATTTAACAGTTCAAAAATGGACCCTTCAAAAAGGGTACAAAATTGGCTTTGACAGGGTACAATCGTTGACTATAATGAGATTTTATGTATATATATATATTTTTTTAACACACACGCCAAATTAAAATCTGAATTTATTAAATCCTTTTAATTTTCACATTTTAAAACATTTCAGTTTAAACACAATGTCTAACTGTGACATAAACAATCATCAACAGAGTAAGTGTCATTTGCCTGGTTGTCCATTTCATCTCCTGGTTTCATTAAAGTCCATTCTTTATCAACCTTGACACTGCATGCATGAAATTGACGGTCATAGGACAAAGGAATCAACATTTTTCCACAAAGGATCCACATGGTGTCTATGTTAAAGATGTACTTGATTTGCCAAAACAATGGAATACGCTCAGAATGCAGTACATCTATGACAAACACAAGCTCTGACAGCATACGTCACATTGTTGACTGTTACTTCAGACACACGTTGGATAGCTTTCTCTGTTAAATCTACATCACAGAGGTTGTGATTGACCATCAGGGCTCTCTGCAGCTCCACAGGTAAAGATAAAAATGGAGTGGTCACACTTTTTCCCAGGACTTTCTCAAATTCACCCAGCATACTCCCACAAAACTCCCAGCACTGTCTGAACTGGCGTCTGTTGCTCAGTGTTGTAGCAATGTTTACAATTTCTGCAGTTATGGGCAACTATTTTAAAATATTGGTGCTTGGCCTCAAATCTCATGCACCATAGCAAACGCAGGGGCCCATACATTTGTATCAGTCTTGAATAATGAATTAAGTATTAGAATGCGACTACATTCTGATGTGGTGTGCATAAATTATGTAATAAATTAGATTATGTTTTGGGTTTTGTACACAATTAGAATAATATTTTATATTTTAGTCATTGTGCACAAATATTGTGCTTATGTACTTAATTCCACCTTTTCCTTTCACACAAGAATTGCTGTTAAAACTTGTTTGAGTGGATTTAAGCAAGAATCGATTAATCTAAAGTAATTTAACAATGGTGGAAGGAAAAAACAAAAGGACCATCCAAGCAAGTTTTCAGCATAGCAACAATGATGGGTGATCAGCCTCATTACCACTTTACATACCACTTAAAAATAATGAATTATTTAAGTGGATAAAGTATTCCTTTAAGTGGAGATATGTGTGGTGTTAAAAATGTGAATTTCTATCAGTACGTTTGTCAAGTGTATTTGGTGTTATGGAGGTGAACAAAAGAGATTTTAGCAAGCAAGACATACCTCTCCAAGTGTAATAAAGCGATCAATGTTCTCCTTGAAGATGTAAGGCAGAAAGATGAGGGCTGCCCTAAAGTCAATATCTGCAAGACATAAGATATACTTGATATTTAAACACCATTTTTCTAATTCAGAAGCAGTGCAGGTAAATATAAAGGTCATCACTATGCATTTGGTCCAGTGTAGATGTCAATTTCAGGTAAGCAATTTGAATCTAAAAAGATGATTTTCCCACAGAACCTGTGTTAATTAACACTTTGAAGTCAATTGAAGTACACCGTTTTATGACATAAGAGTAATAACAAATCTAAAATAGAATTTAAGACATATTAAGGCCCACGACTTTGAAACACTGTGATATAGGCATTAACATTTAATCAGTACCTGGAAGATCCTCAATAAGAGCTTCTTTTGTCTCCAGGTAAAACTTGAATAGTGGGCATTTCCTTTGAGCTAGGTGAAGCACCTTCGGTACAATACATTTGAAGCCTTCACTGAATTGCTGACACAAGTTCCCTGTTGCTGGATGGATACGTTCCAACTCATCACACAACTACAGAAGAAAAAAAACATTAAACTTTATTCCGTATCAGAAATCATCATGCAGCTTGATACTAATCCAAGAAGCCGTACTTAATGGCATATATGGGACACTTGTGTGTAGACTACATGTTAGTTTTCATACTATAAAACCATTAAAATCGGCATCATTTATTTCCACTGTCACACTTTTAATGATTAATAACATTTCAGTTACATAGTGGTTTTTGCTCGTTTATTAGAGTACAATACATTCACCAAGTTTGACCCAATAACTCCCTCCCTTTCATGAAAGCTTCACCAGAAATGTACTGCTCCAAAATGAATGATAAATGATATGCTATATAGCTCACCACAGGTATATTTATTCCAGTCGGACAAAACAGCAGTTTCATATTTGTCGTTTTCATTCATTAAATCCTTGTGCAAGAAAAATGGCCTACATTGGTCTCTAATTTGTTAATGCTACTATCTCATCAATAATCAGAACTATTTATGCAGGAGGAGTTAAACTTTTGTTATGTCCCACCCCATCCAGGCTGTTATTGGTCACTCAATGAAAAGTGAAAGTGACGAGCACATCGATTTTATGAAAAGTTGAACATGTTTAAACAAAATGCACCTGATATAGCTAGATAGCCAGCTAGCAAAACTCAAAACCTCCTTATCTTCTCCCTGCTGTCTTCTGTCTCACCGCTCCAGCTGCTGACATCCGTCTTTGATTTAGCTATGAGCTGCTCAAGCGGCCACTGAGCGACACTCCTGGTGAAGTTCTCATTTTCATGACCGGGAATCAAACTTGGTGCATGTATTATACTCACACGGACCAGCAAATAAGAATATACCACTAAGAATTCTATGACCGTAGGATATATTTTTACTTACCCCGGTGGGTGTCCTTAAGAAAGGGTACTTCTTAAGTGCGTCCTCTACAGTCATTCCATCAGCAATCTCCTTTTGCCGCCATGCAAACGTCTGCTGCATACGGTCCCGTACAATCCTCAAGTCAGGTTGCATCTTCTGGTGCTGGCTATGCAAGACATTCACATGAGCCTCAATGGAGGATGGATCCTCACCCAGAACACTTGGTGCCTTTATGGGAATTGAGATAGAGAGAGATACACTTACAAACACATCTGACATAAAACTAAATTGTCTTGTGTAATTCCATTGGGTGAATCAATCTTCTACCAACTGATTGAACTGACTTGACCAACCTTATAGCTACAAAACTGTTAAAAAGAACAGACATTAACCAACTAACAGTGACTACAACTTAACTAAGCCTCATTTATTACCAATGCACCAAGTTGGGCATCACTGACCTTCGACACATTTCTCTGACTGGTCCTCGCTGTTTTTACAAGTTGGTTTGATTTTTTGTGGCCAAACTTCTCCTTACTACCTCTCACTTCACTGTTGTCAACCAGAGGTGCACGCTCCCACTTGAATTTACGCCTCAGAGACATGTGCACTAATTGAAAACAGAAAAAATAAATAAATACACACACATGCATATATATTTATATATACACACACACAGGAAAGATGTAATACCTCATGTTAAAAAAATGAAGAGGTGCAGAACATATGCGACGAGGTTGGTAACTTTTCATTGCAGATAAATAGAAACAGTGAAGTGATGTGTCATACAACAACAAACTTAGTTCCCGTTTTTCCACAGATGAAGTCTCATGCCGAGGATAAAGCTGGGCTCTAGTTTACCTCCGTGAAGTTGGCCCCCCACCCAACGCAAAACGTCGGC